GACTCTAATCTCACAATTCTGACTCTAATCTCACAATTCTGACTCTAATCTCACAATTCTGACTCTAATCTCACAATTCTGACTCTAATCTCACAATTCTGACTTTAATCTCACAATTCTGACTCTAATCTCACAATTCTGACTCTAATCTCACAATTCTGACTTTAATTTCACAATTCTGACTCTAATCTCACAATTCTGACTCTAATCTCACAATTCTGACTATTTTTCTCAGAATTCTGACTCAGCTCCACTGACAAAGATGTGAGTTGTTTGGCCAGTAACACACTGGTGGAAAAATACGGAATTAGGCAACTTTTTACATGTCCGAGCGATCCACACTAATACTATTTGATTAATGGAAGTCTCTAAACAGACATGGCTACGGCTTGATGCCAACATGTTTGTTAGCTGTCAGAATTCAATCAGAATTCTGAGAAAAAAGCCAAAATTCTGCCTTTTTTCCCATATTAAACTGAAATAATCTTCCGTAGCTACTTCAGTGGACAGCCGTCTTCATAAAGAAGTGCAGTTCTAGAAATAATTCAGGATAAAATTACTTCTAGACTCTGAAAATCTATACAAACAAGTTGCAAAGTAATTTATTCTTAAAAACCGTAACAGACTATTAGCAGGTTGTACCTTCATTAAAGTCAGTTTACTGCCCAGCCAGTTTATTTTATTAAGGATCATATATAGATGGAAACTTAATCTTTTTAAATCTGAAAGAAAAACTGGATGGTTTAAACCAGGGGATCGTCAATAAAATAAATAAACACATAAAGAAAATCATCAACCAGTAAAGTGTCTTTCACACACCTGTTATCAATTGATAGCAGATTATCAGGCTTTGCTGAGCTGCAATCATCTGAATCAGGTTTGCTGAAGCTCAAACATCCAAAACATGCAGAGCAGGGTGCCTTGAGGACCAGGGTTGAAAAACACTGGGCTAATTAGTATCACGTGTGGCCTGGTCCCGGAAGCTCCGGTTGGCTTTACCATGTTAACAGGAGAAGTGGCGCAAGTGAAGTTAGACGCTGCCGTCGGATAACATGCAGTAATTTATAAATGTTTTAAATCAGGTTGGGTCTGGATTAGCCAGCAGCTGGGTCCAGATCCAGACCGCGGGCGCTAATCTGGAACGAGGGAAACAAAGCCCACTTTCCAACTTGTCATTTTGCTGTGATAAACACGAATAAAGCAGTAAATCTGTTTCTTTTTTTTCCCCACTTATCGACAGTTTGCATAGGACTATCTGCTGAAGACGGCATTTAAAACAAACCAGGCTGAAATGGCACCTGGCAAGCTAAAACTGGACGAGGAAACCATCTCCTGTTCCATCTGTCTGGAGCCACTGAAGAACCCGGTGACCATTCCCTGTGGACACAGCTACTGCATGAACTGTATTGAAGACCACTGGGATACTGATGGTCAGAAGAAGACCTACAGCTGCCCTCAGTGCAGGAAACAGTTCAAACGAAGGCCTGTTCTGGAGAAAAACTTCATGTTAGCTGATTTACTGGAGGATCTGAATATGATTGGACTCCAAGCTGCTCCAGCTGATCGCTGCTATGCTGGACCTGAAGATGTGGCCTGTGACGTCTGCACTGGGAGGAAGATGAAAGCTGTCAAGTCCTGCCTGGTCTGTTTTGCTTCTTATTGTGAGAATCACCTCCAGCCTCACTATGATGCTGCACCATTACAGAAGCACAGGCTGGTGGACCCATCCAAACATCTCCAGGAGAACATCTGCTCCAGTCATGATGAGGTGATGAAGATCTTCTGTCGTACTGATCAGCAGTGTATCTGTTATCACTGCTTAATGGATGAACATAAAGGTCATGAAACAGTCCCAGCTGCAGCAGAAAGGACTGAGAAGCAGAAGGAGCTCCAGGAGAGACGACAACAAATCCAGCAGAGAATCCAGGACCAGGAGAAAGATGTGAAGCTGCTTCAACAGGAGGTGGAGGCCATCAATGGCTCTGCTGATAAAGAAGTGGAGGACAGTGAGAAGATCTTCATGGATGTGGTTCGTTTCATCCAGAAAAGAAGCTCTGTAATGAAGCAGCGGATCAGATTCCTGCAGGACACTGAAGTGAATCGAGTTAAAAAGTTTCAGAAGAAGCTGGAGCAGGAGATCACTGAGCTGAAGAGGAAAGATGCTGAGCTGGAGAAGCTCTCAATCACAGAGGATCACACCCAGTTTCTCCAGAATTACCCCTCACTGTCAGCACTCAGTGAGTCTACACACTCATCCAGCATCAATTATCATCCTCGTAATTACATTAAGGAAGTGACAGCAATTGTGTCAGACCTCAGATACAACATGCGGTTCTTCCTGACAGACACAGAGGCAAACCTCTCAGCGGAAGCCACTGAAGTGAACGCTTTCGTTTTCCGAGCCTCCTTATTAAAGTTTTCCACCCAAGTTACAGGGGATCCAAACACAGCGAACAACAAAGTGCTTCTCCTCTCCCCTTACACTGAAGCTAAATATCTGAAACAGGAGCAGAGATATCCCAGCCATCCTGACAGGTTTACCTATTTCACTCAGCTCCTGAGCAAAGAGGATCTGATTGATCGCCATTACTGGGAGGTGGAGTGGAGCGGCAGTGGGGTTTCTGTTGCAGCGGCGTACAAAAACATCAGAAGAGCCGGTGCAGAAGCCGAATGCGTATTTGGGTACAACCCGCAGTCCTGGATGCTCAGCTGCACCGTAAACGGATACAAGTTTTATCACGATAGGAAAGAAATTGCGGTTCCAGGTCCAGTTTCCTCCAGAATAGGAGTGTTTCTGGATCACGGAGCAGGTATTCTGTCTTTCTACAGCGTCTCTGAAACCATGACTCTCCTCCATAGAGTCCAGACCACATTCACTCAGCCTCTATATGCTGGGCTGAGGTTCTTCCCATCCATAGGAGATGCTGCTGAGTTTATCAAACCAGTTTAATGGGGTTTTTTTTAGTTTACTTTTGATGCCTGTTAACTAGAATCACTAGTTCTATTGAAAAATACGGATTTTCTTATTTTTTTGAGAATGTAACCATCTGTATGCAGTTGTTAACGTTCAACCTAAGAAATAAAGCTTTTACTTCTGAACCTACTGGTTTGTTATTTATGTTGAAAAGATGATAAAACCAATAGTTTTTAATAAACTAGATTTAGGAGAAGCAGATCTTCCTACATAAGAGACGAGCTTTGCCCAATGTTTCACAAATTCAAACTTTTTAGTATTTACCAAATAATGCCACATAAGCCAATATGTTTGCTTGAATGATCATAAACTGACTTCTCTATAAAAATAGTTTAACTTTCTGTTTTTAGATAATAAGCAAATGTTTCTAGTGCTTAAGTTTGCTCTTTTTCTTAGTAATTGTTGACAGGGTGAAGGCAAACTCTTCAGTGATGGACCTGATCTGTCAGGAGTCCCGACAGGACGGTGGAGCCGTTGTTCGCCACTAGATGGCGCCAAATAAGCGCCATTCTTCAGCAGAGGAAAAAGCAGCAGCCAATTAACCCTTTAAAGCCTGATCCCAGATAAAACATACAGAAAATTACTTTTTTTTTTGGTTTGAAGTCCTTATTTGGCCTTTTAACAAAAAATATGTAAAAAGAAAAAACAGAAATACATTTTTGATATTAATAAATTATTACTATGCGATAAGTCAAGATTATTTTTTTTGTACTGTAGTCTTCTGCTGACCAAAGTTTTTACCATTAAATTATGCAAAAGGTGTCAGACGCAAAATATTTCAGAAACCGTATGTATCAAATATGATACATTTGGCATTACAGGGTTAACTTTGCTCTTTTTCTTAGTAATTGTTGGCAGTGAAGGCAAACTCTTCAGTAATGGACCTGATCTGTCTGGAGTCACTACAGGACGGTGGAATCGTTGTTGGCCACTAGATGGCGCCAAATAACCGCCATTCTTCAGCAGAGGAAAAAGCAGCAGTCAATTAAAAAGTTGATCATTTACTTGATAAATACATTTTAAACATGAGATTCTAATGCCACACAATTTCATTTTTCATTCCACTGGGGAGTGGTGGCCTAGTGGTTAGGGAATAGAGCTTGGAATGCTGAGGTTGTGAGTTTGAGCCCCACTCCCAAAGACTGCAACTCTGGCTCTCTGAGCAAAGATCCTTACTCCACGCTGCTCCCTGGGCGCCGCACAATGGCAGCCCACTGCTGCCTAAGGGGATGGGTTAAATGCAGAGGGGAATTTCTCCAACGCGAGATCAATAAAGTTCAATTATAATCACTACATGCTGATCCTTGGCTTTAATTTGATGAAAAATGTACTTCTTAAGGAACTCTAAATGAATCAGATCAAAGTGGAAATTCTTTCATAGAATTCAGATACATGCTATTAGAACAATTTCTATAATTGAGCTGCTCAAGGTGGCTGCATGCTGGAGTAGCTCTGATAACTTTATTCTTATTTTGTTCGTCAAAGTCTGTTTTCTGAGGATTGCTTTTTAATTTCTGAACATTTCTTATATATAATCATGGTAAGTTGCATTTTTACGCCCGTCAGACGCTCAGTAACATTTTAAAAGCTGAGAACAATAATTAGACTGGTTCCCATTGATGTGGAACCATTTGTGACTTGTGTACCACTTTTGGGCATTTTGTCTTAGCAGAAGTATTCTGAAAACTTGAGAAAAGTTTAATTACAAGAAATAATACAAAAGTGCATCTGCTCAGAAGATGAATATGCAAAAGCTACAGCTGTTTAAATCCCCTTTACAGTTCAGCTGATTTACAAAAAACACAGTTTTGGGAAATTAATGTATTGTCTAGCACAGTGCTCTGCAGCGTTCAGCGTACAGATCTAAACTTTTCTAAACCATGTTCTTAACCATGTTTGTCAGTAAAGCTAAAAGAATTTGATAATTTGTTTGACATTACAAGTATTTTTTTATATTCGTATGATTCTAATAAGGCTGCTCAGTGGAGCAGTAGGTAGCACTGCTGCCTTGCAGCAAGAATGTTTTGGCTTTGATTCCCGGCCCAGGGTCTTTCTTCATGGAGTTAGCATGTTCTCCCTGAGCATGTGTGGGTTCTCTCCTGGTACTCCAGCTTCCTCCCACAGTCCAACAACATGACTGTAGTTTAATCGGCTTCTCTATAGTCTCCTTAGGTGTGAGCGTGTGTGAATGGTTGTCCTGTGTGTCTCTGTGTTGCCCCGCGATGGATGGGTGACCTCTCCAGGGTGTACCCCGCCATTGACAGCTGGAGATGGGCACCAGCACCCCTTGCGACCAAAATTGGGATTAAGCCTGTTAGAAAATGGATGGATGTTTCTAATACAATAAAATGTTTTAAGCACTTCTATTTTTGTAAGAACTTTGTGGAATTATGAATTACAACCAAGTTACTGTTTGTAAAAGGAAATACAGTAACTAAAGCAAAACAAACATTTAAGAGTGAAAAGTATTCAATGAAAGCAAATAATCCAGCAGCAGCCAGTGCTTTATATGTAGAATTTACAAAACGTAACTTAAAAACAAATGTTTGCATGAAGCGATATTTATTTATTGATTCATCTTCTATTCCCCACCACAATTTGTTACATTATTTCCAAAAGTAACAACAGAAATTAAAATAAAACATAAAAATGTTTCAAAATAAAATGCAATGCCACCCAAACCCAGCATAAAGCCTACTTTATAGTCGCCATCGGGGAGTGGGTCCTGATTGCTCTCTGGGCGCCGCACAATGGCAGCCCACTGCTCCCTAAGCGGATGGGTTAAATGCAGAGGTAAATTTCTCCCATGTGAGATTAATAAATGTTAAAATAGGTGTCTTAATTTGTAGAAATTCCTCATAAAATCATAATTCAATTAGTGAATATTTTTAGATATATTTTTTTTTTTATCCAAAAGCTCCCAAAGTTTAACAACGCAGACTATATTGTGAATCAGAGACTCCAAACGAAGGGCGCAGCAGTCATGGACTCATGGTTTGATGTAGACGTTGACGCTTCCCTTTAGGTCTCTGAAGGCGCTGCAGTCAAAGTCGGCCACCACCGTCTTTAAGCCAGCCTTGTAGGGGACCGTCTGGATCTGGACCGTCAAAGATGAATTAGGTTCCACATCTCCCAAGTTACTGTAGATAAAAGAAGAGACCTTTTTATTTTCATAGCAATGTTAACTCTACACATTAAAGTAGAAAAGAAGCAAAGCTACCAGAGGTGACAAATAAAAAAGTACAAATAATTTGTTACCTTACCTAAGTAGAAATATCAGCTATCTATACTTTAAAATTTTGACAACTTTTTACTTCTACTCCTTAGATTTTTCTTTAATTACCTCTATTTTTTATTCCTTACATTTTAAAACAGACTCATTAGTTCCATTTAAGCTCATTTTCGTTACGGCCTGTTGGTATTTAAAAAAATAAAAACTATCAAACTAATTTGTTAGAACCGCCTATGCCTAATATGACTGTTGATTAACCATATGAAAACTTTTTTGTTTGTAAAAGTCCAGAAAATATAATCCAGAATCTGTCTTTAAATCTGTTAGCAACTAATGTCGCTGTAATCGAATGTGCAGCCAATGGGCAGCCGCTTTGCTGAACTTATGCACCAGTTCAACGTCCTGTGGAACAAATGGTTAACAGGAAGGGAAAGGAGTAGACGCGGCTTTGTATAAAGCAGGGCATTCACCAAAAAGTCGATTTGTAGACAAGTGGACTCGATTCACATCGAGAAAACTCTAAAGTTGAAAAATCACAGCTTGTTAACGCACTAGTCCAATGCACTAGTGCTGTCGAGGCAGCGGGGGTCAAGATGACTCAGAGCGACTTGTATCTTTACTCAAACGTGTGTCTATGATCATTAAAGTCTCTGTCAGCATGTACTGGTTGAACCAGTTAAAAAGTTTAACTTCTTTAGCCGCAGTTTAACCACTTAGGGCAGCAATAATATTGCTTTTAGCCAAACTTAAATACAAACATGCCTAGTTTATACAGTTGTTCTGCAAATAAAGTGGATTTTGAGATAAAAAACACTCTAAATTAAAACAAAAGTGTTGGTCCTCCAGTAAGGTCCGCTGTCCTGATTTTTACCTCTCTAGGTGTTGCGATCCGAAGAGGCCACAGCCAACGACAGTCAGAGAACAGCACCTCAGCGTCTCCTTCAGCGGGTTTTGAAACTCCACCAGAATGGTCAGAGGACAGTTCACACGAGTTTCACCCAAAACCTGCAGAAAATATCAAACACAGTTTT